TGCTGCTCAGCCCCAGGGGAACATCAGTGCCTGTGTCCCCCTCCCTCCACCCCGCAGAGCCCCACCCACCGGCCTCCATCTCCACTCCTCCATCCCACCTCACCCTCTTTCACCCGAGCCACTAAAGTGAGGATCAGGGTTCCATGCCCATCCAAGCCCACTGCCCATGCCCAAGCTGTTGGCGACCCCTAAGAACGTGGGGTACTTTGGGCAAGGAGCAGTTTTGACCTCTGGATATAATTTCATGTTTTTCTGCTCTCTCTCCAACATCAGAAACACCCAACTGGCTTCAGGTTTCTCTAACTGTCCAGGTCCACCTTGATCTCCTTCCTCTCATTTCCTTCTGTGGAGGGCAGAGCAGGCTGGCATGAATCTCCACCTCCTTTCCCATGCCCCAAGTCTCACCAGGGGGCTCAAGATAAACCCCTCCCTTTTGGTTCAGTCTCTTTTTTTCCAGGTTTTAATTCATCAATTGACTTTACTCTTTTCTTTTGGTAGCTCATATTGATCCCAGCCTTTGCACTGAGCTGCTTTCCCAATCCTTCTTTTAGTTTTGAGAGAGTTTTTCTAAGTCACTAAGTTTCTAAGTCAACATGCGATTCTCCTGCCTCAGCCTCCCAACAGTGCTAGGATTGCAGGCATGGCAGCCAAACGGGATTTACTTGATACTTTTGAATGTTCCATTATGCTCACCTCTTCATCCCATCAGCCTGCTCTCCGTTATTCCTTTACTACACATGCCATGTGTGCACACACACACACAGTTTTCTCATGTCTTCTTTGATTTCCATTCCATCACTCCGTCCAACTGCCCTGTGGATCCAGCCAATGCCTGGACTCTCCCCTCCAAGGTGACCCTGAAGCCTCCCCTGTTCCTTCCACCCTGCCCATCTGCAGGCCTTCTGGGGCTATGGTGTCCAGCTCCTCTCTCCCTGCCCTCTGCAACCTTCTGTATCTCTGCCTCGGAAGCATCTCACTGACCACCTTAGTCCATCAGGACTGAGTCAGGGTGAGGGTTCAGGCCCCATTGCCTTCACTGCTGATTTTCTCTGTAGCACCCTAACCCCTGCTGCGTGTAGTCGCCTCCATGGGCAGTCACAGCTGCCACCTCTGACACTGTGCCGGCCACCTGTCCCCTTCCCTGCAAGAAGCTCTTCCCCAAGGTGCTTCCAAAAGGCCACCGGGCTGAGCAGGAAGTTGTTCAGTAGACAAGACTGGGACTCCCTTTCAGGTTCTTAGATCCTCTCTTGCCCTCGTCCCCAGCACCACAACCTATTCTCTGTCCGCCTGACCCTTGTCATTGCTTTCCACACTCACCTGGGTCTGGCCAGGGTCACCTCTGAACTGTAACAGCTGTCGGGCCAATGGCTCACTGCTTTGGGACCAGCCTTTCCCACGCAGTCACAGCTTCCAGATCCACCCATCCTCACACACCTTAGACCCTCAGATGCTTGGAAAGACATCTCCCGATGGTCAAAGTCCACCCTTCTTACCCAGTCAGTCACAGTCCAGGAGAATTTGACTTAACCCATCTCTCCAGAGAGATCAGCATACTCTCTGATGAAGTCGGCCTGGCCTCTGCCCTGTCTGAACCCGAAGTGCTGCCAGAGCTGGGGCCTGAGCTCAGTGGCAGAGTGCTGAGCAAGAGTAAGGTCCTGGGGTCCACACCCAGCAGTAGCGAAGACAAGACCTACCTTATGATGCCAAAGCCCATGCTCAGCTTCCTCACCACAGGTGTCTGCCCTGCTGGAGGCCTCTGGGCTGGTGCTGTGACCTAGTGCGGGGCCAGGGATCCTCATTAGCAGGACTTAGCATCCAGTCACCGCCCCTTACTAACTTGCAGGGACCACCGCTGCTGATTTCACGGGACATCAGCTTTCTAACCAGCAAGGTGGGCACATATGACTCATCCTGCAAAACTGGTATGAAAATTAAACCGGGGGTGTTAAATCACTCACGGGGTTTCTGGTTCATCTCAGCCCTTCAGGCATGTCCCCCCGCCTTCCTCCTCCAGCTGACTCTGTGCATCTTCGCACTGCTGTCAGTCACAGCATCTTAAATGTTTTATATCACCCGTTATCGCTATGAAATCATTAAGGTGTCACAAGTGAATTTATGTTAAGAATGGGACATCACCAGGGCTGAGTCAGCGGTAGAACTCTTGTCTGATGTGCACAAGGCTCTGAGCCCAGTTCCCCAGCACTGAAAAGATAGTTTGGCAGGGAAGAGAAAACAAATACGCAACAGTAAGGAACATTAGGCTAAAGCTAAAGGGTATTAGGGTAATTACCGTGGTGCCTTGGTTTCGAAACTTAATTCTCTCCAGGACTCTGGTCACAAACTGAATCGGATGAGAACCGAATCAAATTCAGTGGTTAGGTTCAAGGTGGACCTTAGGAGAAAATTTGATTTGGCTCTCCTCCTCTCCTTATTTTGGGACCAGAATCGTGGGAAGAATTAAGTTTGTGAACTGAGGTATCACTGTCCTTAGCTCTATTTCTATGGGAATTAATATTTTAACAGATGTGTTTTGCACATAAATTATGATGGATATGGCCTGTTGATGCTAACATTTCCTGTTTCAGGCTTTAAAAGAAAACCGAATTTATTAGATAAATTGTAACTTGCCCATTCAAGTAAAGCAAATAAAAGATTCCCTCCAACTAATAAATTAACTCTGCATTGTGTCATTTACCAAGATAAGAAAGCTCTGGTAATCCACACTGATCCCTGCAGATAAACCGTGGGCTGAGACCCCTGCATAAATCACATCACAGCAGTCGCTCACAGGGATCTGTGTTCTCCTTTGCAGAATCCCACACTATGGTGCCCTTAAAATGGGAGTTTTTCTTGCTTCTGTAAGACATCAGACAACCACAGAAATTCTATCCCTATCCTGGCTTTTGTCCCTCTGGGAAAGTCAGACAACTCAGCTGGGACAGGGAAGCAGGAAGCAGGAAGCACCTACCCCTGAATGTCCTCCCTTGCAGACTGGCTCCCAGGAGCCTGCGCTTTATGCTTTGTTCTCCTTCTCAACACCATCCCTGCCTCCTTCATTTAAAAGACACCGCTCTTTTGAAAGCAGTCAATTCTACTGCACACAACAGAACCTTACCATAAGGTCTCCAGTCCATGCCCCAGGGGCAAGTGTCTCCACAGAAAGAGGCTGTCCAGATGACTGAGGTAGGAGGGCAGGGAGTGAAAGCTCTTCTGGTTAAACCACACCTGAAAAGCAGAGGTGCTTTAGTGCTGTCCTCCAGATGCATGCTCCTCAGTCTCTCCTGGGTGCAGGACTGCAGGTGTCAATCAGCGCCCACAGCACCTGAGAATGGGACATCGCCCCCGGCTGACACTGAGCAGTCAATTCCAAGCTGCTAATATTTATCTCAAGCATATAATTTACAGCTAAAAATAGATTAATTTTTCTGCAGAACAAATACGAATGCTGTTCGCTAATCATAGTCTCGGAGGGAACAGGGAACTGAGGCCTGTCACCTTTCTTCCTCTCCTCTTCCTCGGTTGGTGAGCTAATGAAATTTCACCTGCAAATTAAAACTGTGGAAGATGAGCAGAAGGGAAAAAATGACTTTCAAATTAATAACGCAATGGAGGACATTATTCCTCAAAATAAATTGGACCGAACGTTTGCTGAGCATGGAGAACAAAGCTGTGGACCTCTTGGCGAGAAGCAAGGTGCGGGAGGAAGTGAGAGAGGATGTTATCAAATCAGGATATTAAGTGTCACAAAGACACTACTCAAACCATCACTGCCTACATGGCAAAATCTCCATGCTTTCCTGAAAAGTCGATGCTCAGCCTGGGACTCCTGAATGTCCTCTAGAAATACAGAGAACCAACCAGAACAGCAGGTCTTAATCCACCTGCCAAAGCGCTCATCGGGAGATGAGCCTACACCTACACGGTGCCATCTTTGCAAGGGACGATCCACTTGTGGGCATTGATGCTGCCCCAGCAAGTGCACCCACTTCAGGAGTCACCAAAGCTTACACGAGGTGTGACCCAGACCTGCAATCTCCTTTTGCACTGTGTCCTGCTAAGACCAACTGTGCTTAATCCAAGATCCTCTGGGGGCAGCTACTGTGTCCCTGGGACAGCTACGTGATCAGAGATGCTAGGGTCCTTTAAAAACCAAGCTGGACGCTGCTGAGCGAGACAGCATTCTCCCACCCTTCCTCTGCTCACCTTCTCCAGCAATTCAGAAAAGAGACCCCCTTTCTTGAGTATTTTAACTCTACAGAGAAGTCCTGGCCAGGCCTCCTTTAAGCTCCAAGGGGAGGGAGTGAAGCTGGAGAGGTGCTCAGTGCAGAACTGAGGACACCCCGTGAGAGTCTACAGAGTGGGGCTGGGGCGGGTGGACCCCACACCACAGAGAACAAGAGCAGTAGATCCAAAGCAGCTGAAACCACAGCTCTGCGAAGGAGGGGAAGGGCCGAGCTCCTCCAGCAGAGATGACAGCTCCCAACTCAGGGAGCACAACTCACAGCTCAGAAGCAGGTCCAGCTGCTCCGCCCACTAGAGGCAGAGCTCAAGGTCCCTTCCACACAGCTGAAGCTCATCTCCTCATGGTCTCCCTGGACATCATGCCCGCCCCCAGGAAGGCCTACACCGGAACCCTACTTCTGGAACTCACAGACAAAGGACAGGCTCCTTTAGAAAACTCTGGCCTCTGGAAGCTGGGTTCTCCCTGGACCCCATTTGAGATGCTCTGCCTTATTTCTATTTTGATTAGTACATGCTTGTAGTACAAAAGGATAACGTTCCTCGTGGGGAGCTGGTACATGTACCTAACACATCTTTTTGCTTTTGTTCTGTTTTTTTGAGTCAGGTTCTTGTTATGCAGTTCAGACCTTGAGCTAACTATATAGCCCAGACTGCCCTCAAACAACTTATGGTGATCCTCCTGCCTTAGCCTCCCAATGCTGGGATTACAGGTGTGCACCATGCCAGGTTTACCTAACGCATTCTAATTCTTTTTACTTACCCTTCCCCACAGTCTCACTGTGTATCCCATGCAGGCCTTCAACTCAGGATTCTCCTGTTTCAGGAAAACAGATTACAAACATGAGCCATCACACACAGCTTGATCTTCTTAAATATTTAGCTGGAGGGGAAAAAAAATCCTAAAACTAATGCTGGCCTTAGCCTGAGGACTAAGACATTCATATTTTGTTTTGTTTGCTCCACTTGTGTTGTTTCAGTCTTTTTAATCTTTGTTTTAAAAGCCGATGACCTCTTTCTGACTTACAGTGACACAGCACAGTGGCCCACAGAAAGGGAGGTGCGGCTGCTGGGGAGGTAGGAAGCTGGGAGGACAGGGTCACCCTCCTCACCCTGCCCCTCCTTGCTCTCCTGGGCCGAGGGCCCCACTCTAGAAGCCTTCTTGTCCCTGGGCTTCCCATGCTCACTGTCAGGCGCATTTCATGCCCCTCCAGACCAACCAGGCTCTGCCACCGGACTGGTTTTGGCCCCTGGCCTGTGACACTGGCACGGGTTTAACAAGCCCGTGTCTGTCCTGCGGTCCTGCCTGGGCCTCTGATTCACCAAGAGAGAGCACAGGCTGGGTCTCCCTGCCAGAAGTCAGGACACAGGCTAAGCCGAACCCCACCTCACACCAAGCTGGACCTTGCCCAGCTTCCAGTCCTCGCCTCCTCCCGGCTCCCCTACCTGCTTGATCCAGCCTGGCGACCTCCACCCTATGGGAGAAGTCAGGAAGATGCAGCCTACAGGAGAGGACAGCATACTCAGCCCCTCATGTCCTACATGAACAGGACAGACATGCAAGGGAACTGTCCTTCAGAGTGACCATCTGAAACCTGTGTTTCTTGGTTTAAAGCCAACGATTAACTCTCCCTGTAGGAAACCTACCCATCTCATTGAGCGATCCTCTGTCCTGCCCCCTCTGTCCTATTTTCTCCCTCTCCCCCTTTCCCTCTCCTTCTCTCCTTTTCTCTCTCTCCACTTTGACCTCTGTGCATGCAGCCTCTGGACATGCAAGGGTCCCCTTGGGACCTATCCACTTCCACCTTGTATGTGCACAGATCTTAGCAGCTAAGGTGGCCCGGCTGCCCACCGCTGCCGAACCTTGCAGGCTGCTGAATACATGGTGTGTAGTGCTGAGGCCTCTGAGGTTCCCAATCCCTGTCACACAGCAATGCTGTGGTGAGAGACAACACATGCAATGAGAACACTAACAGGTGCCTTAGGGTCACAAAAGCTGTGAATGGGCATCGCTGCTTTCAAGGTCCACAAGTAGCAGACCGAAAGACACTCGATGAATTTAGAGGTAGTTGATAAAACCTGTGGGAATGCTGAAAAAAACATGCCAAGAAAACTGCTGTGGGCAACTATAACCTGGTGCCCCGTACTAGGCAGCATTAAAATAGCTGTTACCAAGTGCTTCCCTGGAAAGGGCAAGGTCCTGAGTTTGATTAACTAAATAAATAATAAAATAGCTACCTAAAATGTCAACTTTGAACTAGAACATGTGTGCTGTAATTCTGGGTTGGGGATTCCTAGGCGAAAAGTCAACGGACGGCTTCAGAGCCAAGATCCAGGGTGTGGCTCTGAGCACTTGTTAAGATTTCTGAGAGAAGGATGGTGATAGGGGATGTTGCTGGGGCAGAGAGGCCTGGAGCTTGCAGGGTGTTCCTTCCGGCTCCCCCAATATTCTCCAAATCCCAGTGAGGGCAGCCTGCACCAACAAGAACCCCAAACATGACTTGCAAAGCTGAGTTACGGAAAAAGCCTCATGCAACTCATTCACAAGCCTGCACCTGGCAAAAGACATCAGACACTAGGAAACACTGCAGAAATCGCACTTGGACACAGCTGGTTCGGTGCAGAAGGGCTGCCTAAACCAAGGTGAGAAGGGGTGTTGGGGAAATCTGGGAGCCCCAAGCCTTCCCTGGGAAAGACACCTACCCTCAGAACTAAGATGCGGCCATCTACTGTAATTAAGATGGCTTTGGATGTGACTTGACTGAAAAGTCAAAATGTGCACCCAGGAAATAAACAGATTCCTTCCACACGTTAGGTCTGTGTCAATAATGGTGGGCAATATGCTCCAAAACACAAAGCAAATGCATCAGGAATGGTTTTTCTCCAAGGTATGAATGATGCCAGTTTCACACCGAGCTGTGAGTCTTTCCACTGCTTTGAAAGGAAGAGCAGTTTGCAGGGACCTCAGCTGAAGAGGAGATTTCCTAAGCCTCTGCACTGTGATTTAGAATCTTCTTCTGGGATTAAATGACCAAGTGTGACTGAGCAGGTTTTGGTCAGGGATGATTCCAGGAAGGGCCTGTAGGAAATTTATCCCCTGGGTGAAACTCTAGGTGTGTGGGTCCTCATCCTGCTCAACTTCGCAAGCCCACTTGGAGGGTGCACATCCCCGCAGGAGCACAGAGAGGCCTCTGGGCCCCTGGAGATGTCCCTGTGTCATCAGCTCTTGTGATAAACCTGCATGCAGGCACCACACCGGGCTAAGCAAAGACAGGGCTGTGGGCCATTTCTGCACTGCTGCCCTAGCTAAACTCACACCATCCTCTCCAGTGTCCCCTTGTCCTCTCCAGTGTGTGCCCAGGCATCACCACACTGTTCCCTAGGGCTGAGGATTGAAAGCCTTGCTCAGGTCATTTCTGCCCATCCTTCTGGGTTGTGCTAATCTCTCTCCTGGGAAGACCTGCTCTCCAGCCTCTGTCCCTGCAGGTGAAGTCTGACATCCCCCGATCCCACAGTCCCACCCCTCCCACCTCCTCTCTGCAAGGCCCTCAGGAAATTTCCTAATGTGCAGGAGAGCCCTGCCCAGGGCTCCCAAGAGCGGTCCTGGGTCACTGCCTCTGTCTGTGTGTCAGTTGTATCCACTCAGCTTCCTTTAAGATGAGGAGTTCAAGTTTATATACAAATGTTCCTAGGCCACAGGGGGTAAGAGTGACATACCCAGTTAATGCGACTATGGGAACACTGAACATGAGGCGTGCTTCCCACTCACGTCACATCTGCTGGTCCTGTTCTGACCATAAAGGAGCAGTAAACCACTTGTCCTATTTCTAAACCCCCGAAAGTACCACAGATCAATGTTCTCTTTCAAGGGGACATTTACACACAAGCAGCCTCAGTCCCAGCCTGGGATGGCATCTGTCCCTGCCTCCAACTCGGCTGAGAAACACCTTTGGCTGCTGCTGCTGCTGCTGTTACTGCTGCTGTGATTGTTGCTGTTGACGTCGATGTTAGTTTTGTTACTGGACACGGAACCAGTCCTCACCCTGAGCTGCATTCCAGGCCTTTTATTTTGAGACAGGGTCTCAGTCACCCCTAAGTTGCCCGGGCTGAGCTCAAATTTGCCATCCTTCTGCCTCAGCCTCCTAAAGCATTGAGACTGTAGGCCTATGCCGCTGGGCTCGGCTTATATTGGGTTTTTAATCTCTCTACTTTCTAAAACAGAGAGAAGGGGAGAAGCACTCTTACCTTTGCTGGAGGTCTTGGTTTTGTGGCGCTCTCGGTTTTGTGGCGCTCTCATTCACGTCTTGAGCTCTGCCCAGGACCCGCACTCCGAAAGACCAGCCACCAAGGCTGTTGATAGTAAACACAGTGTCAGTGTCCAACCAGGCACATGGGACACAAGACGGCACCAAGGGGACATTCGCGAGCTGCAATGGTCAGAGTGATCACACAGTTCTGTGCCCGGCCTGGGGCAGGACCACGTTAGCCACAGCACAGAGGAGGTGCCCCAGCACAAACACGGTCACCTGTGGCTATGGCAGTGACCACAGCGCTGCGCTGGACTCAGGTCACGGTGCCAGGAGCCCACTACTCTAGGGCCTGCAGCCGTCTCCATCTCGACTCCACTGTCCCCTCGGCTCATCACTCTCTCTGCTCCCTTCTTTCTCCAGTCTCCTACTACCTGGTCCTGGGAGGTGTCGGGACCAGATTCGGGCGAGACTCCCCTCCCTGTGGAATTCCCCCCACACCCTACACCTCCATTGCGTGTATTAAGTGCCCCATGGGGTTTGGACCTTCAGCTTGTGAGCTGGTTCAGGCAGGTCTCCACTGATCCCAGCACTGACTACACTCCCAAAACAGCAGAAGTGAGACTCAAAGGCGCGTCTTAAGCTTGATAGAGATTTTTCTGGATAGAGATTTTCCAGTGGCTCCCTGAACCCACTGGAAAAGGTGAGACAAAGGGACAGGAATGTGACCTCCCTACCCGGGGCCAAGGGATTCATGCATTCATTCACTCAGCAGACACGGGCTGGGTGCCAACCACAGCAATGCAACATGTATATCCATGCATGATGGTAGCTCCTGGAATGCACGCTTTCTGATCCACCAGAAACTGCTCGAGTGCTGCGTGTACAAGTTCCTAGCGTTGAGGAGCAAAGGCCAGGGACCACAGGACAGGTGACAGACACTAGGAGATGGCAGCAGAGCTGCAGGGAAGCCATGCTGGAACAGCCAGGCTGGTGTCTGGGGCTGTGTTACGGAGGCCGGCTTCCTACACAGCCCACAGGGTGCCCATGTGTGTGACACATCTTGTGATGTGCAGGGACTCAGAAAACTCAGCACTGTGGCAAATGTCACTGATTGAAAGCAAGAAGTATTTGTCCCCCTCATCTAGAGTCCATCACCCCCCCCAGGCTGAGGGAAAATCAGCACTGAAACTTTCCCCTAACTCCCAAACTTGCCAAGGAGGAATTTTAAAGAGGGAGTTACACCAGGCTCCCAGGCTGCTGGGAAGCCTAAGAAGAGGTACTGTTCCATTTTATGTCAGCATCAGGATCTCTGCGGACTCACTCCTGGAGACCACAGAGGGACACACGTGCTGCCGCAGGTCAGGGCTGACGTAATGCTCAGCCCGGACCGCTGAGGGATCTCAATGGAGAGGATTCCCTCAGCGCTTCCAAAAGGGAAGTGAGCAGAGAGGAACCTGCTCAGGGCTCAATGTGGGGCTCCAGCAGCTGTAGGAACATCCAGAGAGGAGTCAGACTTCTGAGTTTTTGAACTATTTGCACGTGAAACATTCTGTATCCATGGCTCTGTGTGCCCAACCAAGTCTCTGCATGGTGTGGACAACTGACCTTTGTCACCATTCCCTAAACAACACAGAGCACAGCTGTTTGCCTAGCAGCTACATCGTACCAGACATGACAGTCATCTGGAGATGGTTTAAGGCACACAGGAAGTCGCAGGAACATTTCATGCAAATACTGTGCTACTTTTTATTAGGCCATGTTTGCATTGTAAAGTTTACCTCCCCAGAGCGGAGCTGGTGCGTGTGCATCACAGCTGCATTCTTTGTCCGTCCCCTCCCCCTCCCTTCCTTTCCCTGTCCCTCCATTCCTTGATCCATTCCCCTTTGGTAAGTAGTTTCCTATTATCTATCCTTCATTCTGCTCTTTATCATCTGAGTTTCTCACATTAGAGAAACCATGTGATATTTAAATTTGCGTGTCAGGTTTATTTCACTTAATGTGGTCTTGAGTGCCTTCCTCTTCCTACAAATGGCTGTGCCTATCCTTCTTTAGGCCACAGTAGTGTTCCATTTGTGCAACAGCGTGTTTCTTTCCAGTCATCTGTGGATGGATTGAAGGGCGGCTTCCATACAAAATCTTTTTGCTCTGATTTGGGGCCCTAGTGCAACAAGCCCTGTTTGTGTCACAGGGACATAAATCATTACAAGTATTCACAACATCCATGCAGGTGGCAAGACAGCTCTGGTCTTGGTAAACACCCAGAGAACTCTTAGGACAGACAGTGGTGGTGACCTACAGCACCCATCCTCTAGCGAACTGTTTGTATTATGAAAGATCAAAAAGGTTCACCATCATTTTAGGCTTTTGGAGAAATCTATCAGGTGGAGGTTGTTTAGGTCATCACTTCTGTGATTATAAGCTGAATCCTGGAGTACAAGGGTGGCCTTCAGAGTCCTGCAGATCTCCAGTGATGCTGACCTTGGCCTCCTCTGATTTATCGGAGGAGTTGATGCCTTCACGTTTCTGAAATAAGGAAGCTATGAAAAGCAGAAAGGAGCCTCAGCTACACGGGGGAAGGTCCCTCAACCACCTGTGCCCAACAGAGGCAGTGTGTGCTTTGTCTCCAGCTCTGAGAACTGCCTCCTGTCCACAGTGACATCCTATCAGATCTGACAAAGCAGCACAGGGGACCACCATCCTAGGAACAAGGCATCCTAGGAACACTCAGTGTAGATGCTTACTAAATATACACTCACCAGATGAATACACAATTTAACAACAAAAACTACTTAAGAGATGAGAAAGAGTTGAGACTCATACACCTGCATAAGACTTTCTAAACCTAGAAAGGACAGCCTTGTGAATATAAAAGTAAAAATGTTAATTAAATGAGTAGTCACCATTGAGATACAAAAAGTGTCACGGGAGAAATATCACAGTGACAAAAGGAAAGACAAAGAAATCTTCAAGGCAAGATAAAGAACTTGAAAGATGGACTGGGAGATCATAGCATGAGATGTAAAAAGGCATTCTAACAAGAGACAAGGGGAAATGGATGTGAGGAAATGATTATATCAACAATAGAGGAAAATTGGCTTGATCTCAGTAAAGAATGAAGTCTGCAAGTCTGCTGCAGAAAAGGTTTCAAAAAGGAAAGAATTCTCCTCTCCAAGGATAAAGAAGGAATCTTACATATCACAGTTGCCTAGAAGAAGAAAGAGAATCAGGAGGAGTGCTCCAAACTAGCCTGCATGCCTGGAGGCTGTAAGAATAAGCCCCATTATAACACACCCTAGAGTTTAAGACTTCCTAACTTCTCTCCTCTCAGTTTGAAAAAGCGGGGCTCTTCTACTTAAAATGCTTCATGACATCTTCAGGAAGCCCCGAGACTTCCTGAACTGCGCTCATTTCTCCGGCTTACCCTCTAGAAGAACTTTCCCACTCCTTGCTCTAGAAGAAACTTTCTTTCCTGTTTGCCTGGGAAATACATATTGACCTTTGCAGATTCTCACAGATGCCATGGTTTTATAAAAGTCGTCCTTTACACCCTCAAATGGTACCTCCTGCAACTTAGGTACAACTGCTGCAACAAGCATCTCACAACAGTTCCGAGACCCCCCATCTGCCTGGCAACCTGAATGTGAACTCTCTCAAGACAGGCCTCGCTTCTCTGCATATTGCTATGGTTTGGAAACGGTTTGAGTGGGTCTCCCTGAACTTCATGTGCCAGGCTTCTGGTCCTAGTCTGGGGATGCTAAGGTGATAAAACCTTCAAGGCATGGGTCTTGCCGGAATATAGTTGGATCCTTAGGGTTTTGGTCTCAGAAGGGATTCATGCTGCTCTCCTGGTGTTGAATTAGTTCTCAAGAGAAAGTAGTGAAGGCTGGATCTGGAGTAACTCAGCCAAACTGAGGCTACTGGTATCAATGAATGATCGAGGTCCCTCCTTCAGAGTCTTTCGACCCCAAATCTATAAACTTACAGCTCTGGCAGGGTCTTGAGTTGATTCTTTGGTGGCTCAACTTGGGCTCTTCTGGATTTCTGGCGGGCAAACCCTGATGTTCCCTGGTTGAAAGATGTTTATAGCTTCCATGTGTGAGGCACAAGGCTCTCTGCAGAGCAGTGTGTGCAGAACCTGCTGTCAGCCTACAGGTGACTTGGGGAGAGGAGGAGAGCACACACTTTATAGACTTTGCTGAAATCCTAAATCTGGCCTCTGACTTCCTGATCAGGGCCTGGAAGGCAGTGCATGCCAGGCCTCACGTCCTGTTCATCAGGGGTTCTGTGATGTCACCGTGAGGAGCCAGCTGCATGCTGGCCAGGGGTCCAGTGGCCCCACTGGTCTACACATTTGCTGTGAGGCAGCCTAAAAGGCGCAAAGGCTTCCCAAAACGTATTCCTGCAAATTCTGACCTCAGAAATAGGGAAAGTGTTCATAGTAGTTTTTTTCCCGTGTTGGTGATAAAAGCCAGTGCTTTCTCACGAATAAGGTAAACACTACCACCACTCTGTTACCCCAGCCTTCACACTAGAAGTTTGTTATTTGGGAACCGGAAGAACATGGTGGATAGATAGCAGCAGCCTCTGAGGCTCTCTGAGAAACCGCACTTGAAATCTAGGAATGGTGCCGGGCAGGAAGTCCCAGGCAAGGTGGGATATTCTTTGCTGACCCAGGAACAAACTAAATTAAGAGAAACCACTTGGAAACGCAATCCTGGTGATATAGCAGGCACAGATAAGGTCTCAGCACAGAAGCTGGACCCGCACCACTGGAAACAGATTTGAATTACCTGCAGCTGCTGTTTCATCCCGGTCAGCACATCGTGGAAAGAGGTGCAAAAGCTCGGAGTGGAAAGCGTTGAAAGGAGTTCAGAGCAGGACTGGCCAGGTGCCCTGCATCAACCCGTAGTGAGTGAGCCAACCGGGACCCTTCCATAGAGAAGGAGGCTTCAGTGGAGGACATACTCAGACCGGGCAGACTACCAGGAACGAGAAGCTGCAGTGACTTCAGTCACATATCCCCCTCTCAAGTGGGATTGGTGGAGAGTGCCTGGCCTGTCAGATGCTGCTGTCCCAGTGCCTAGAGGTGCACCCTAGCCATGAAGCCTGAGGTAGGCTGACCTGGAGGGACAGGCCCACCATAGGCTACCCAGGTCTGTGTCTCCTTGGTGCCACTGCGGTGGGCAGGAACACCTAGCCGGTGCAATTCAAACAGACTGTGGCCAACAGGGAAGGAAGGTGGGCCTCCTATACAAGCTTAAATATAAGGAACAAAGAATATGGGAAGAGGGAGCAACAAGAAAGGGTCCTCGGGCCCCAATCCTGAGAAACATGCAATAGTAGACACGGCACCAATAAACATAAAGCGCTATCTCCAGAGCCTCATAGACGAGTTCAGGAATGAAGTTATTAATGACCTGAAGCAAGACATAAGTAGAATAGAGAAATGCTAAGCACCACCCAAGAAAAAACAGATGGTGGAATGGAAGAACAAAAAAGGGGGGGAGAATTGTTTCATGGAGAAGACAGAGAAAACATAGAATACTTAAAGCAGGTTCAAAGAGATTACCAGGAAACTAAAAATTCTATTGAAAACTGGCATAACAGCTTGAAAGAAACTAAGGATAGATTATCTGAACTGGAGGGCAGAATTGTAATATGCGAGCATGAAATGAAAAACCTTAAAAGTAACAAAAAAACAAACAGCAATAATACAAAAACTAAGAAGTGGGGACACAAACAAATGGACTACAAGAGCTATTCACAGAAATAATCCAAGAGAATTTCCCTAATTTGACAAATGGTAAAGATACTCAGATATTATGAGGCATACAGGACTCCAGCTGCCTACAACCCAAACAGAGCAACACCCAGGCATATAATAATCAAAATTCCAGAAATCCAATATAAGCACAGAATATTAAAAGCCATCAGAGACAAGAAACAGATCACTGACAAGGGAACACCCATCAGAATTACAGCAGACTTCTCTGCACAAACCATCAAATCACGAAGACCGTGGGGGGAAATAATTCAAGCTTTGAAAAATAATAACCTCCAGCCAAGATTGATATATCCTGCACAACTTTCCCTAGAAATTGATGAAAAAACAAAGTGCTTCCAAGATAAAGAGAAACTAGGGGAATTTGCAACCACTAATTCAACTCTACAGAGAATACTGCAGGATAGTCTAAAAAAAGGAAAATACCAAGATGTCAGAAATAGTGGCAGAGAGGCCACAATGAATGGAGCAGAAAACGAAATGGAGAAGACAAACTGACAACAAACGACAGAAAAAGAGCTTAACAGAAATGAGGCAGAGAAGATTGGAAGGTAGGAACAGCAATTTTGGAGAAAACAAGGCATCTTAATAGCTAGTGCTGATTTAGTATCATCTTGTTTAGAAGTCCCATCAAACGTGTATTTTTCTGTCTCCACTGGTCTTAAAAGGTTGTATCTTATTGGATTTTATTATATATGATAATATAAGCAAAAACTTTTATAGACAAGGAGTTCATATAGAAACCATTGTTCATTTTCTGTCAATTAGTTCGAAATATCTTGTAATAATGTCATCCTCTTGAATGGTTTTACAGTGTCTTGATATGTTTGGTGCTACAGTATAAGAACTTATACTCAAAGATTTTAAGGAAACAGACACTATGGTAACTATTTCTATGTCAGGATATCTTGTGGTGAAACACTATTTTGCTTAAGTGGTTATGATTTGACCTGCGCTGTTCTGTTGTTATGCCCTCTTTCATCTCAATCCCCCTTTTTAAAATTATTTACTTTTTTCTTTTTATTTTTTTAATTAAGAGAAAAATAAATAAACAATAGCAGGATACATTATAGTAACCTACTCTGATTTCCTATTAACTTGATTTGAAATCCTGTATTGCCCTCACCATCTTGTTTTGACTGATTTTCCTCTATTCTGCTTTGCTTGATAGTACCAAGTTCGAAGTATAGGCATAACTGTGAAGACAATAAAAATCATTATAATGCCCATTCCGGTTGACTATTATTTTCTTTTAAAATCCTGTAATGTCTCCAATGCTTTGGTTTTATTCTTTACTGTTTAGTTCAATTTCATTATAACTGTCAATTCTTCTTAAAATAGCAAGAGGCAATATGGTAACTATTGTTGATCACCTTATATTTTGTTTTTACATTATTATGTCCATCCTTTTGATTTGACTGACTCTGTTCTGATATGTTGCATTTGGTTTTACTCTCTTCAAAAAAAGTAGTAAGAACTGTGGGAGTAATAAAACCCAAAATGTGTAATTGTCATTGTACAAAAGAAAAGAAACTGATCTAAAGGTTATAACTGCATATATGTTTAAGTGTGGAAGATAGATAACCATATTACTGAGTGTTTTTTGGATCATTGAACAAAACTGTTTGCACTCTGTTTTTGAAAGTCCACTTTATATGCTTCAAATTTGTAACTTGAACAACTATTTCTAAGATGAGAATACGTAATCTATGTGATTTCTTACTGTTTATTTTTTAAATTTTGTATTACTTGGAGTCTTTTTCTGTGTTTTTTTCCTTATTCTCCTCAAATTAAAAAAAAAAAGAAGTTTGTTATTTGAAATCCTTAAGAACATTAAAACTATTGCTGTTTGTCTTCATCCAGGCTGCTCTCACAAAAGACTCTACACTGGGAGATTTCTCAGCAACAGAAACTCATATCCCATAGCCCTGGAGGATAGAAGTCAGGGACCAAGAGTCCCAGGCCAGGTTCCACAGGAACTTCTTCTGGGTCACAGGCACCTGATTCACTCACATGGAACCCACAGTGTCATGAATAAAACTGATGCACAGCCATGGCTGGGACAGGCCCCGCCCTGGGCTCAAGACACAAAGCCCATGCAAACTATAACCATGGTGACTGAGGTTTGCTGGTCACAGGCAGCTCTGGGGCTGGTTTCTCAAGCCGTACACAACTGAATATCTTACCTACCATGTGAGAGGCAGTGAAACCATCTTCTGTGCCTTGTGTCTGTTGTTCTAGACAAGGTTTCTGCTCACATCCTTGTCTGCAATTCTCAGTGCCTGACTGGCTCTGGGAACTGCTCCTCTTATAAGTCATTTCTGCTTTGCTTTGTTCTATTTAAAGTCTTTACCAAATTTTATTGCTGTAGTGAATGTTTGTTTACAATATCCCAACAGGGAAGAAAGGCGGTCTCCAGCTGGTCTTGTCGTCTCTTCAGAGGGCACAATCCCACTCACAAAGGACCCACCCTTCTGACCTACTCAGCTTCCAAGCACCCTGTTAGTATGGTGTCTGCCCTGGAGAGCTGATTTCCACACGTGCATTTCAGGGAAACACACTCAGTCCAAAACACTTCTCACAACCCATCGGACAAGTTTTGAAATGTAAAGGAGAGTGCATTTCTTACCTGAAAAAGTACATCTCTGCCCTCTCATAGTGGCCTGGTGTCATTGGTCAGTGGTCAGAGGCTGCACCATGAACAAGCCCATGGCCAAGGCCACGAAGAGGACGGGCAGCAGCAGGTCACAGGCCGTGCTCTTCCAGGTTCTGCACGTGCAGAGCAGCTGCTTCCTCAGGAGCACGGCCATCTGCACCAGGAGCAGCCGGTGGCCACGGACCAGTGCAGGCGCGGTTTGTGGAGGTGAAGTCACCACGGGAGAGACACCTGCAGCCAGAAAAGGACACTCGGGTGAGTGGGCTGTGGGTGCAGGAGGATGTGGCTCCCAACACCTGCCTGGCTCTTCTAATGGTGACTTTTCTATAGCGACCCTTTCAGAAGACCACGCATGCTCAGTTTGGCACCTAAAGGGCCACATGTGGTCCTCCTGTGTCCTTGCTCTAGAAGGCAAAACTCTGAGATGATGTTTAATGGTGGCGTAAGACACAAGCCCAACATGGAGCTCTGATCTTGCTCCTGATAGCAGAGGGACAAAATGGGCCAGTGACTGCCATGAAGCCTAATACCTAGATGCAGATTCTAATTCCTCAAAGACAACAGCTGCAGGAGGTTCTCTGAGCCCCAAAGGGCTCAGAGGAGGCGGGGTGAGGGGTACAGGAGACCTGTTCCCCTGGTTAGATTCCCCCCCTTTTCTTGTCATCTTTCCCTCTTAACTTTCAACCTGAAGTCTCTCCTGAGAAATCCCCTGCTTGTGAACAATTCAGGTCTCAGGGCAAAGCCACGCCACCCAGCTGCCCCTGGTTCAGCCTGCAGCAGCCCCTCTTGCTCCTTCCTCCTGTGCAGCCAAGGTGGAGAGGAGCTGTCAGCCCTCAGTCAGGGCCCCCGTGCCACCACAGCCACCCCCTTCCCTGGGGACCCTGGCAGTCCTGTGTCCCCTTCTTTCTCCTCTGTGGGACCCAGCAACTCTGAAAACAGTCCTGTCATCACAAAAGTACATGGGTAAAATTTAGAGGAAAATCCTGCTTTGTGCTCTGGTGATCTGCAAAACTCACCAAAAATCTGCAAAAATCCTTTGCGGAGGATTCTGCAAAAAGTCTCTGTAGACACGCTGTGGGGTAACTGGTTCCATGGGACCAGTGAGGGAAGAAGTCAATCAAAAGCCAGGCAGACCTAGAGCTGTCCCCTACACCACGTCTCACACAGGGACCAGTTTTCACCATGAATGACAGCAGCTTGCCCCAAGGGGCTTCCTAAACAAACTCCAACACCAAGTATTTCAGAAGAAAAGCAGTCTTAGGAAAAAACAGACACACTGGGCGGACTGTCACGCTCACACATACTGAAGTAAAACTCGGTTACTAGAAGAGCAGCCACTAAGGTCTTTCCTGGGCAGCTGGACCACTTGGAAGATGAGTGCTTCTTACACAACCTCGTAATGGGGCTACGGATCCGGAATGGGACACAGATGGTAACCGAACTGTGGCAGTCCTGAGACATGGACTTCAGACTCTGTGTGTGGCAGGCTCTGGACTATTTGGTTTCCCTCCCCAACAAAATTAACACAATAGAGGAACTGAACTGAAAACATAAAGAAACACCCAACACAGAGACAGACATTGTTACAGAGGGGTGCAGATGCCAGTGCCAAGTGGTGAGGCCCCTCCAGGATGCTAGAAAGCAGGCAGAGCTTCAGAGGCATCCAAGTGTGGGAATTTAAGATGCGAATGTTTAAACTCAAAAAGGAGATGCAAACAGGCACCATGAATTCTGTGAATCCCACGGAGGTGGGCAGCAGGTGCCACTGACCACAGCAGTGCAGGAGGCAAAATGGGATAGGGGGAGGTTGTAACTGCCCGGGCCCCGGACGAGGCGCCCAGGCCACAGTCACTAAGTGAACTTGTACTGTGTAATACCCCGTCACTGTGTGCTGTAAAAACACAGGGATCCAAGAGGTGATTTGTAAGCCACACACACCTCAGTCACCTGGAAACAGGGCTGAAATGCTGACTTCCAGGCTCCACTACAGACAAAGTGAGTTTAGCTTTCCAGGGGTTCTGATGTGTTCCACTGGGCTCCAAGACCATCGCATTTAATGCATGGGCCATGCTGACTCCAACCCCCACTGAGAGGCCGCAATGCTCAGAAAGTGTAACATGAGGCTCAGGGCAACCCTTCTTCACATACACACGTGCGCTTCCTGATATTTTCATGGGGTAATAATTCTAGTTAACACCAATTTGTGGTCTGATGGATGCAGACCTAGAAGGATCATTATGGAAGCTACCTAACTTGGGTAAAAATAATTCCAATGTTATGGGGTTGTCTATTTCCAGGATTTCTAAATCTAATTATTGTTATAGCTGCTCCATGTCTTCATTGTTTTAACTTAGCAAGTTTTTCCCTCCTGCAGAGTAGGATGGTTTATTTCGTTTAAGTTCAAGAGGAACTCAAAGGTCTCTGGTCTGTCCTGTGATTCCCCTCCCTACTTTTATCATTAGCAGCTACCAGAAGGTACAGTCCATGGTTTACATGAGTAACCAATTTGACATCTAGCTGCCCGCACTTAACAAGCCTGCAAGCTGTGCACTGTTTCCTATTAAGACACAGCAGGCAAAGGCCACGAGTACCTATGTGCATACCAGGAAGGGGCACGCTGGGTATCCGCACAGCAAGTCTGCCCTGGTGACAGGTGGGCATGCAGGCAGAGACAGCACAGAGGCTGGTGCTGCCGATCGTGCTCACTGAGACAAGCATCAAGGTGGCAATGGTGACCAGGACACAAATCCAATCTCAGGCACCTGTATCCTGTGCAACTCCTGGAAAACCACATAGCCCTCTAAATGCCAACTCCCTTGTAAACTACAGACTTACAGTGTTTTTCCCCCAAATGGTGAAGATTATTATTAGAGCACTTATTAAACCATCAGAACAGGCACACGCTGACCTCTGTCACATCAAATGTTTGCCTGACAGTGTCAGTAAGTCTGCAAGGAAAGGTGTGTCTCATATTAAGAAGAATAAATTTTCTCCACCTTCCCTTACACTTTAATTGGACATAAATGAGAATCATCAAAGGCTGGCATAGTTTATGGTTATGGATTCACCAGCAATCAAATATTCATGCTAAATTTATATAGCTCTTCCCATGAATAATTTAACAGACAAAATTAAAACGCTCGGCCAAGTAGTTATGAATTGTCTTATCTGACTGATGAGCGCAATTAAAGGCAAGGAATCCGGGTATCTCCGGAGGCACCTATGGGTTCCCAGCGACTCCAAGACTACTGAGCTGCTTAAGGAGAGTGCCCAGGGATTTCTCTTTTCTTTCTTTTTTCATCAGTGGTGGCAGTTGTTCAAACATGAATGCTTGGTGGGGAACAGCTTAGAATATCAAGGACTTGGCAGGCTCCTCAGAATACAAGGTCCACATGACTAGCTCCCCCAAAGTATTCTTGAAGTTTTCCAATGAAGTTTTACCCATGACAGTTTTCACTTCAGTATAAACAAGATGAACACTGCAGAAGAAAGCAGACACACAGAAGATATAAAGACCGCAAAACAGCCAATCTGCTAATGCTGTCAACGGAGGCAGTAATTTGGCTTTTAAGATCTAAGATAATGTTAACACCTAATCTTAAGGAGTGTTCAAGGTGCAGAGTCTCATACAAGGCAGGTAGGAGAACAGATCTCTAAGACAAAACAGAACTACACACACAGGCCTTCTTACATCTACCTCACATCCAATCTAAAAGTTTAGCATTTAAAAATCAGAAATGCATCAAATAGATAAAGCAAGGTGATTTGTGATCTCCTATAGAAAACATTTCTGGAAGTTGGAAAAACTTAAACATCTAACCCAAGAGGACCAACTCAGCACATTACAAGGCCAGGTGCCTTTTACCAAACAACTTCTACACCCCATGTGCGATTTGATGAGGGAGTTTAATCCACATGGTCGCCCAGCTGTCTGAGCCTGGTTCCACTCTCTTGAAGATTTAATTATGTGTAAGACTAGGGCTACTCTGATTTTTCTCACAAGTTTCTGGGTCTATTTTTATTCATCTTGTAGTCAATAATTATCCTGTAAAGACCACACTTACAGGCAGCCCAGTTTTATGAGCTAGAAACAATGTAACACACTGTTCTCTGGGTTACAGAACTTTAAAACTGAAATAGCTTTTAAACTATGTAGCTCAGACTTTTCATTTATTTATAATCACATTCTGTTTAGAACTTATGAAAGAGGTTAAATTCAAGGGAGTAAAATGTATTTACTGGTGTCTGTAGTACAGATGGTTCTTGCACCACTTGAATAGGTTTTCAAGGACTCGTCATGGAAGAGCCAAATATGTAAAAAACAAAAACAGTCAGCTAAGCCCGACCGAGGGGTTGGAAGGTACACAAGGCTTGGTCACGGGAAGCTGCCCCAAGGAGGGCTGCCAACACTGGGACTGGAGATTCAGAAAGTGTTCATTGATTGGGGTGGGGTGGGGGTAAGGAGAGTGCGCAGGCTGCTCCCAGATCTGAGGCACATGGGAAGCATGATGGCCACTTTCCATGGCACTGCGGTCCTGACCCTCAACTTCTGCACCATGCACGGGAAGGAAGAAGCATGAATCACTGCACCAGTCCCGGCATCTCAGTGCAATAGAATCAGGTGAGCGGCACAGAGTCTTAAAGTGTTACTCATTCCACTGAGAGCAAGGTTTAGCAAGATGAGTGGACACCTGGGAGATGGGTATGGACTCTGCCAACATCCCGCTGAGGAGGCCACGCAACCCAGTACCCAGAGTCAGGATGCCTGGGTTCCAGCTGGGCTTCTAGATTCCCCTCCCTTGCCCCATTTATGAGACCAAAAGCATGCATGGGCTGGGCACCAATTTGTGTCCTGGGAAAAACAAGATGTGTGCCATTTATACAAAGCATGACTTGAGTTATTTTACGTGTTTGCATTCCCCAAGAAGAAAATTAACAAATCAAATGGTCTCTCATCAAGGAAGAAGAGAGTGAAGAGGAAACAGGAAAGAAAAACAGAAGCGACAGAAGTCAAATGTGTCTCAGCACCTGTGTGCTTAGTATCACAACATAAAGCTCAAGAAATAATTATGTATAAAATAGTAAGGTAACACACAGACACATTTTAAAACCATGCTAGGTGGTTTTAAATTTAACTTTAGTTAAATATACATTTCAAAATCAAAATCCATCTTAATTATGCTTCATTCTTTAAAGAAGTTAGGAAGCTGAGGCTGTTTATATCA